GAAAAAATCCCGTACAAACCCACCCAAATATTTACTTTTTAAATTGTCCAATCGAATACAATGCTATGATTTTTTTTAAGAATCACTTTCCTTTGGAAATTGATGATCAAAAAAAAAAAAAGAAACAAAGAACTTTGTTCTCGGTGACTGTTTTTTTTTTTTTTTTTTGGCATAATCAATACACCACAAGTTGAACGCCTCCATGTCGTCAACAAACCTCATCACTCGATGGCATCCGGTCGTTCCTCAGTAAAACCTGGCGTCAAGCGCCCGTTGTCGTGGCACCACTTTTACAAGATGAATTTGGTGCGATGGTGGCAAGGCTTGAGCATACCTTGGCGGGGGGGCATTGGCGAATTGCTTGGGTGAGCCGGGCAACGGAATCAATATCCTTTGAACCGCTTTCTGCGGTTCTTTTTGATGTAATTGATTGTAGTATCCTCTTTGGGAAAGATGATATTGTTGTTGTTGATATTGCGCCTGTTCGGCGGGATGAAAGACATTACGATGCACCTGTACTGGAATGAGGATCTTGTTGAAATCATGCTTTGAAGGGTATTCCTGTTGACGTTGGTGGTAACCTTGATAATAATGTTGCTGTTTCTGTTGTTGTTGTTGTTGTTGTTGTTGTTGTTGCTGATATTGCCGATGCTGCTTCTGGAATGGTTTCTGTTGTCGTTGGTAGTTATGATAATTTTGTTTTTTGTTGTAATTGCCATTCGGTTTTCCACGCGGCTGGTTCTGCGGGAAAGACTTCCCGGTAGGTGAAAGAGGCACCTTTTGAACAATATGATAGACGGGCGAAGAAGGAGGTGAGTAGGGTGGCGGAGGAGAAGTGGGTCTCTCGCTCTCGTCTTCCTCGTAATCAAAATGATCATTGCCACTGATGGTCGCAGCTGAGTTGGAGTAAGTGACGTCATCGCCAGCATCAGGTCTCGCCACATTCACAACCTTCACACGGACGCCGTTACCAGCGACACCGATGTTGTTCGCGAGTTTACCACATCCAATGTTCATGTGGGCGGAATTTCTCTTAGCCAACAGGAGCTCCTCGTAAAAGGCCATCTTACGTTCAATAAAGGTATTAATCAACACCAATTTACGTAGAGTGCTGGTATCCTTGCGTATGGTGGTGGCCTGGTTGGCGTTATTGGAACCGATGGACTTTATCTTTACAATGGAGAGTTTATAGATGTAGGTAAGATCAATCGAGGATGTTTGGGATGCCATTTTTTGGTATTATGGAGAGTAAGAAAAGGAAACAGAAAAACAAAGAATAACCGAAAATGTTTGGAAAATTAAGAATGCAAAATGTAAAAAAAAGAAAAGAAAAGAAATGTTTTTTTTTGAGATGCAGGGAAGAAGAAAATCACAAGGGGAATTCTTTGTTCAAAAGAAGTCAAGGCAAAACAAAGCCGGCTTTGTATTTATTATAGTTGCAAGGGTGATATTTCAGTATTTCAGATATATCGCAGGGACCTGATAAAGATCGGGTTTGAATCAAGTAATTGCAAAAAAGAAAGGAGGAAAAAATAGATATATTAAGTGAGACGGGACCAAGTCACTGCTACTAAATCGAAGAGCAATTGATATCGTCGTTTGCTTATGATAAACGAATTTCTATTCGTTCTCCCGGGGAAAAAACCAGATTGTTATTTCAGAAACTTGTTTACGGTTATCGCAATGCCTTTTTCGTTGTGTCAAATAATGGAAAAATTCAGAGGAACGGAAGATGGATGCAAGCAGTCAAGGTGACTAATAATAACCTAGAGAAGAAAGAGAAAAAAAAAATAAATCTTTGTTCAATCCAAAGAGATTGATCGATATATATATATCCGTGCTGTTGAGTTTAAGATGCTTTCTTTGTGATTTGTGACAATGAGGTAGCCCAATTGTAGATTAAAAGTTTCCAACAAATAATCCAACGAGGCTTTTTTTTTTTTTTGCTTGTGTTGAGTATACAATATATATATATATATATAAAAATAATAATATAAAATAAGTGATGAGAGGGGGTGTTAAATTAATGGGGGAAAAGTTCGCTAGGGGGAAAGAAGAAAAATCTTTTTCATAAGAAAATAATGGAGAAACAGAAAAAGAAGAAGAAGAAATAAGAAAGAAAAAAGAGAAAAAAAAAAAGTAGAATTTTTTTAAAGCATTGAAATTGGGTGGTTTTGTATATTTATACAAAAAATTTCCCCTTCGTCGGTCCCATCTTCAATTACGGTGGTGCGATTGATTGATTGATGTAGAAAATACTTTAATTCTATTATTATTATTATTAAAGAAAAATAAAATAACCAAATACAAACACACCTACACCAGCGGCCGCACAACATATACGTATATTGGGCATATTGTTAATTTTACAATAAGTAAAAAAAAAAAAAAAAAATTTTTTTTTTTTTTATTTGCACACACACACACACAACACTGCATACTAATATTTATTTACAAGATGTATTGATTCATTTAACCTGATTTAACCAACCTTGGGGGTACACATTATAAATAGACAACGCAGTTTTATTATTGCGGATTATAAAGGGAAAATTAAAGTACAAATTTGTAAGTGTGTGAAGGTTAAAAAACACCACAAGGCAGAGCGCGGATTTTTGAATGAGGACGCAGAAACGGCGAGGTGTTCCAATTAATCATCCCATTCATCATCCAAATTGAAATCACATGCTAATTACTTTGATAAATAGTATATCATTCGGCACAGCACGGCTAGATAATCGGTGGCGTGCCCGAGGTTCAAGGCGGATGATTCCGAAGAGTCAAAGACCACCAACAGACCCGCTAGCTTCAATTAGCGGATGACGCTAACGAGAAAAAAAATGAAAGAAACCAGGCACAAATTGAGTGTGGAGAAGTTTAGGGAACATAGTTTCAGAGTATAAAGGAAAGTCGTGGACACGGGGTACTTTCTTTTTATGTTAATTCAAACATGAAACAAGATTAAAGTTTAGTCTACCATCAAAGTTCATGATAATAGCATCCCCATCAATAATGTACAATGCTAATGATAATACTTCACTCAATGAAAAACGAGTGTATATTTCTCTTATCACAATTGTGTGGGTAAAATTTGTAAAACACTTGGTGTCTGTGTGTAGGGTCGGATATAGGAATAACCAGCAAAATAACTGACTGACTACCGGATTTGGGGATGTGTTACATTAACGTAAAGTTCCAAAAAGGCAGGGCGGTTAACGTCAAGTGGTTTAGCCGGTTTGGAGGAAGTTACGATTGCCTACGTAATTATTTGTCGTGTGTGTTCACGAATGAACGAGAGACATTTTGACGTGCGCAAGAGGGGAGGAGGTGACCCATTAAATTCCACCACCACGCGACACACCCACCATACATTGGTTCCTCCCGAGGTGACGTGTAAGTGACACATGTGACATTTTTGTGTTCAAAGGATATCTATTTGATGTGCTGTATGTAATGTATGTTAATATGTATGTAATGAAATCGAGCTTTGTTAAGCAAGCGCAACAATAACGAACTTTGGCGCACCAGGTATATCATTGTTTGAACTCTGATGGTTGGGGTCCAGCCATTTGCCAATTGTGGAAAGTAAGAATATCGAAACAACACATCGATTGGTGAATTCTATATTCGTGCTCGTAACTCAAGAGTGTGGTCTGGGATGTAACCCTGGCTTCGAGTTTCCCTTTTCTTCTCGTAGTTGTTATGTCCCTAATTTGTCGTTTGGCCATGAGAGCATGGTAATACCATAATTTCTTCTGATGAAAATTATTTATTCTGTAACGTAACAAATCCATCTAATTGGGACCAGACAATTGTTAACGGGTTTTTTCCACCCAAACGCTTACAGATTGTTGTCGATTTTTTTTTTTCCCTTCGTGCGCAATCGAACGCAACGATATTTCATCTGGTCTTTGTGTTCTAAACCAAGAAGGAATCTATACACGTGTGTGCGATGCGTCGACTTTTAATTTACAATGTCAATGTCAATTAAATTTTCATGCATGTTTTTTTTATTTTTTTCGTTCGATTTTTTTCCTCTGTTTTCTATTTTTTCCAAAAAATTTATTATGATCAATGCGATTAGACGGCATCATGAAATTAAATGTCATGTGCTGCAGAATGCCCTTAATTGCCAATTATTATTTATGCAAAAAAAAGAAGAATGTTATCGAATGTTTATTATCAACTTATTTAAAAAATGCATGCGCTTTATTATTTTTAGAAATCCATCCAAAAATAAATCCTTTGCCTCTCCAAAGAAGCAAGTTGATTTCTGGGCGAAGAACACGAAACAGGACATCGCGATTATCAACCAAATTAGTTATCAGGAAATGTTCTCAATCAGACGTATTGGTGAGACATCGGGAGCCTGGAAAAAAGAAATGATACTTTTGTTTGCTTTCTAATCGGAATTCTGGTTTATCGAATGACGGCCTTTTAACCAATCATCTCATCTCGTGTGACATCCATCACATTCCCATTCTTTGATGAATAAAATCAATACCTACCCAAACGTTAACCAAATTCAATCATGTTTCAAAGAAAACCTTTTGGCTCCACAAAACGAGAAATGGAAAAATGGTGTGAAAAAGACAAAGGAGATGTTTCAAGATTATCCGAGCTCAATCGTGAACCTTATCACGGGTGTTATCGTATCCGAATTAAGGAAACCTTCGATCGAGTAAACAGGACGCGATACTTTTGAAGAGAGGTGTTTTTGAATTCGTTGGTGGTCAACAAATAATTATCGGTTGAAAAGGAAATGACATGAATCGCGCAAATCACGATTCGCTGTGATACGTTTCAGATTGACAAACTCATTTAATTATTCGTGCATAAATGCACCTTCAGAAAAAATGAATTTCGGCTATGTGAAATTGATGCATGGATGGAGCCTACATGTGGTTCCCTCGACCTTTCCCTATGCTCCCGTTTTGTAAATTCTACTGGAATCCTATTGTACCGTTGTATTGTCGCTCCTTCCTGGTCCCGAAATCTTGGATACGGTAAACAAATCACTTTGTCCACACAATACTCTGTACGTGCGACATTGGTACGACGAGAGGGATCCAAAGAATCGGCACACACAGAATCACTCATGCATAATAAATGCATAATGCATAATAAGCTGTATATGCATATAAATGATCATTAATTAACGTTTTAAATTTCTGGGATGGGTGGATGGATGGATGGATGGATAAAGCAGAAATCACGATTCAAAAAAAACAAATACCTGCTAAATTCATTATTTTGAGGAATTTTTTCAAACGGATGATGATTTAATAATATGAATGAGAATAGTAACAATATATCACAAGACTATTATTATTCATTGGGCTGATTGAAGAAGACATGTCAGGGTACTCAATAGACTCATGACACCATGAGCGTTCACACAAATTAAGTCAGATTCATGTGACGCCACAGGCAGGTGTCAAACAAAATTTTTGAAGAAAAGAATTAAATTAAACTTTCCATTTTTCGGTCAACTTTCATGCAACCTTCTGAACGTGCATCCGTGAAGTTACAAAGTATAATAGGAAAAAGAAAAGATGACAATAGTTTGTATGGTTTTTTTCATCTTCCCAGAGTCACTTCGATTGATGGAACCATTTGGTCTATATCTTTGTGTGTGTTTATCTATCAATAACAAGGTCCAGTGCCTTTGTCTACATCTTTTAGGATTATCGTACAATCTAACAATTTGATCACATCACACAAGTTTGACACTAAATTGGATTGTGTGTGGCATCATTTCTCGCCGTTCCATGGATGCGAAATTATTTCCCATTATGTGCGATCTGAGGTGGTACATGCGTGCGTACGTGCGCAATTGCAGCTTTTTTTTTTTTTTCTTTTTTTTCTTTTTTTTTTTTTTTTATGGGAAGCAATTCCACCCCTGGCAACTAATGCAGAGATTAGTGAGACGCCGCAAAAACGAAAGAAAAAAAAAGCTTCAACCCTTGAGAAAAGAATTTTGCATTCAAGGTGCGGGGTTGCATGTTGTTACAAACGATTCGGATGCAAGGGGTGGTGTCATATTAAGGGATGTACCTAACCATTATCTAACCTTAGGACACAACGACGTCGATTGAATTTGTTTATGGTAAACATTAATATTATTTGCATCGGGGTGCATAAATATGGTTCATCTTGTATAATGTATCCGTTATAAGTGTGTGTAATACGTGTATCAAGGGATGAAGGAGAAAAAAAAGGATTGATTAATGGAACGGAAGAATGGTTAGCGGTAAAGCTACACGCATATCTTACCTTAAAGGATCTTCGACCTGAGCTCGAATTATGTTAACACGTCTTGACACTCGCTGAGAATCAGATGGCGTAAGTGGTGGGGGAAGCAAGGCAAGGAAGTGTGTACAGTTGGAGAGGTGCATACAATCGATGTTTTCTCATTAGCAAGTATAAAGGAGGTTAGGCCTTTTGTCTTTCCGGTAGATTGGTCGATGTAGGTTAATCTGTTTATTTGATTGATTTTAGTTAATGAGGAGTGAGGATTCCTGTTAATCGACCGCTCGCACGTAAACATTCATTTTCGGACACGTACCGAGTGCCATTCTTTCTTGTTACCACTTCCGGTGCTTCCCTCCTATTCTTCCTATTCTTTCTATTGTCCTTCTCTTGGTTATTTCGGATGAGTGAGTCCTGACGAGAATATACCCCTTTCCATATACGGATGCTGTTCGGCCGATCGTCTCTGAAAAAGTTATTGTTACACGGGCCATTCATTTATCCATTAATTTTTTTTTTTCCTTGTTCTTTGAAAATTTATGGTTAGACCGGTGGCTTAGGGATTCACCTTGCGATAAGCCTCAACGGAATTCTGGGTCAAGCTTTCCTTTTCCATTGCGGTTGAAAAGGCGGTGCCTGACATCATCATTAACTCGGATACGATGCGTAGCCTCTCTCCGCCACGGTCATCCATCTACCAAAAGAGCGAGGTCATTCTCTCAAACACCAACGTTCTCCTTGACAACGATTCCGTAATCTGAAAACATCTCATGACTTTTTGGCTACAACCAAGATGAAGAAGAATGATAATCAAGAACTACAGCTTAGCCTAGTCCGTGAAATCAATGACATAAACACCACACAACCTAGTCATTAGACTCCAACAATATGTTTATCAAACGTTTAGGGATATGCTTAATTTTATTGTTTTTTTTTTAAACAATAATACTAACCTAATCTTTCATGATCTCATGAACAATTCTTCGTAACCATTATTCAGGACCGTCTTTCCATCACCCACCTAACAATCGTTCAACTTTTGTCCGACCAAAAATCAAATGACGGCATCCAAATCCGTCATTGATACTGTACCCATCCCCACCCAAAAAAGGCTTGCACCCCATTAAAAATGGAAAAACCTTTAGCCGTATCAGAATCCCAAAATCTATCTATTGTCATGTAGGTTTTTTGATATCGAGAAATTTTGTTAACCTCAGTATACCAAATTTGCGATTCCTGATGTGACGTACGCCACTGCGACACTTTACCCATAATGATGTAGTTGAAAAATAATTTTGATGTACACTGTTGAAATACATACGGTATATACTGTATTATAGACCGAACGTAGTGTATATATCGGATGCTATGCAATTATTTCACTCGGTCGTATGACAACAAGTCGGTGTGTTATGTAAACGTTTGACCTGGTTGTCATTTCACACTCCTTTTTAGGATCCTTTCATTGACCGATTCCCGAAAGTAGCAGTGTCCATCCGATTGAATGAGGAAATATTGAGAAACCTATTTATTCACCAGGCGAGACAAATAACCTTCCAAATAAAATTCGACGGATTAAAGAATTGTCAATGATGACTTGAAAATGAAGGATTTGAAACGTCTCAGGAGTAATCTCGAGCGCGCTGTCCTGATATACGATGATAAATCCTCTCTCCCTGCGCACCGATCGATGCTTCTGAGAGTTCGCCATATTCAATAACATGCGATTACACGGCAAATCGTTCTTAACAAAGCATTGAGTTGCCAGGGATAGCGTTACGCGAAAAATTTCTCGAGGAATGCGAGAAAACATTACATACATCATCGTGCGCCTCAAAATCCTTCCGTTTTTTGCCTAGCAACTTTTTCGCAAATTCCTGGTGTGACATGTCCCCGGCACACATCTTGGGATTTCTTGGGATAGGAAATTTAGGTTAGGTAACTCGAGGTAGTGTATAAAATGTCATGATGAAAAAGCACCTACGTTCTGTGCGTATATCATCCATCAAATAAAAATGCAGCGCACAATAAATACGTACGTAATTGCGCATTACACATCATAAGAAATAGCGTGAAATGCGCCAATGTGCTGCGCAAACATGCAAATGCTGGGAAAAAAACTCACTCACCCTCCGATAAATTTTTTCCTTTCTCGTCTGACCTTTTTCTCATATTGAGGCTCTTACCCATAATATTTCCTTTCTGAGAACGAACGCACCTTTACTTTTTTTTTGACCGTACTGCACCAGTTTGTTTGTCGTCATTGCCAGCTAACGTATCGGTTGCTTTTTCTTTGTGCTAGAATCCTCGCCGTGGTGCATGCTCGACGTGGTGCTTATTCAATTGTACCTTGGCGTAGCAATATTAAAAAATTAAAGTCGCGTGGACTTTCAATTTAAACTACTGTATGTATACAGCACGTCAAGGAAAAACCTTTGTTGAATGGACTGCTTGTTTGTGCAAATGGGAATAAACTTGTTTAAAACACGAATACGTATGTACTGTATGTAATGTTTGTGTGAACTCAACTGTGATGCCTGAGCAGTTACCGCCAAATTTTTGAACAAAGAAGTCTTGTCATTTATTCACTTTGTTGGGAATCTTTCTTGGGGGGATAATCCAAAAAATGGAAAGATGAACTTAAAAACAAATCTCTCCTGGATGCAATCAATCAATCAATTCACTTTCTTTCCCGATGCATGAAATCCCAGGAATCACATACACAATAACGCCGATCCACCGATTTTCTGACGCATGTGCACGAAACTTAAATGTGCGTACGTAATATAATGTTCGATTCTAAGAGCATTGTGACAACATTTTGACAAATGTCATTTGTCATTATTTCCGACTACAAGGGTCCGTTTTCGTTCGAATTCATGATCATCACCGATGTCATGAGACCTTTGCCATCGACACCATCTGATTATCGCTGTCACCTTTTCACTTCATGATTCCTTTTTGACAATGCGACTGCAAACCTCTTGGCCTTTGTCTGGTGCGGCAACCAATCAATCATCGATCAAAGTAAACAAGTACTGGAACAAGTAAAAAAAAGATCAAAGACGAGTGTCAAACAAGGGAATGTTTCTAACCAATCGGGTTTCGCAAATTTAAAATGTTGCCAATCCCCCAAAAAATGGTACTAAATAAAGAAAATCATTTAAAGGTTATGCAAGGCTCATTAAAAATAATCTTTTGATATTATTTTCTACATTATTTTACAAATCAGATTCTTCTTATACGGTTAGCTCAAAAAATAATTGAACAACATATTTTAGTTATAATTCAATAAAAAATTTATAAATACAATATATTTATAAATACAATATTTTAATAAATAAATTAATTTAGATATAACTAGTTTATTAAATCTTGTTAAAATAATTTTTTAATTTAGGTTTAAAAAACTTTTTTTGCTATTTCTTTTATTAATCTAGAAAAAAAACAAATATATATATATTTAATTAAAATAATTATATCTTTAAAATTATATAATTTATTTAATAAAAAAATATTTATTTAAAAATCTAGATCTTAAATATTCATATAAAGAAAAGTTTATTAAAATCAAATTATTAGTTATTAAGAAAACTATATAATAAAATTGTTACTAATTTTTGATTTTAAATTTTTGGAAATTTAATTTTTAACAATAAATTAAAATATCAATATCTTTATTACTATATACTTTAATTTAATAAAAGAATATTTATTTAAAAGTTTAGATTTTGGATATTTATATTAAAAAAAGTTTATTAAAATTAAATTATTGGTTATTTAAAAAATTATGTAATAAAATTGTTACTAATTTTCAGATTGTAAATTTTTGGAAATTTAATTTTTAACAATAAATTAAAATATCCATATCTTTATTACTATATACTTTTATTTAATAAAAAAATATTTATTTAAAAGCCCAGATCTTAAATATTCATATAAAAAAAAATTTATTAAAATTAAATTATTAGTTGTTAAAAAAATTATGTAATAAAATTGTTACTAATTTTCAGATTTTAAATTTCTGGAAATTTAATTTTTAACAATAAATTAAAATATTAATATTTTTATCACTATATATTTTTATTTAATAAAAAAAATTTTATTTAAAAGCTTAGATTTTGAGTATTCATATAAAAAAGTTTATTAAAATCAAATCATTAGTTATTTAAAAAATTATATGATAAAATTGTCAATAATTTTCAGATTGTAAATTTTTGAAAATTTAATTTTTTAACAATAAATTAAAATATTAATATCTTTATCACTATATACTTTAATTTAATAAAAGAATATTTATTTAAAAGCTTAGATTTTGGATATTTATATAAAAAAAAATTTATAAAATTAAATTATTAGTTATTTAAAAAATTATGTAATAAAATTGTTACTAATTTTCAGATTTCAAATTTTTGGAAATTTAATTTTTAATAATAAAATTAAAATATCAATATCTTTATTACTATATACTTTAATTTAATAAAAGAATATTTATTTAAAAGCTTAGATTTTGGATATTCATATAAAAAAAAGTTTATTAAAATCAAATCATTGGTTATTAAAAAAATTACATAATAAAATTGTTACTGATTTTTAAATTTAAAAATTATAAATATTTTTTTATATCTTATTTTAAAATTTCAATATTTATTATACATTCTTTAAATTTTAACAAAAAATTTCTTTTTTATTAAAATCTTATAAGTCTTATTTTTTATCTTTTAATTTTTATTCAAAATTATAAAAAAATCTTATTATTTCAATTTTATATAATACTATTTTTAATTATCTAGTAAGCAATTAAAACAATTATATAATTATTTGACAATATATTAAAAAAAATTTTTTTTTAATTTATAAAATAATTTAAAAATTACATAAATTTTTTATAATATTAAAATTATATATAATTCTATTTTAATAAAATATAAATCTAATATTTTATCATTAATTATTGATTTATATAAAAGATCTGAATTAAAAAATATTAATTTTAATTTTAACAATAAAAAATTTTCTACTGCTCTTAAAAAATTTAATAATAATATTTTAATTTAAATAATTATAATATTTGAATCTTGATCAAATTTAATTAGGTTGTATAAAGATGGAACCTTTAATCTTTCTAATAATTATAAATTGAAAACAAGTTAAAGCAAAAAAAATTATATAAAAAAAAGCTTTTGGTCTAATTTTGGTAAAAATCTATAACTTTCTTGATACAATAAACTTCAAATTGATTAGCTTTCTAAATAAGTTATATTCAATTAATTAATACCTTAAACTGAATTAACAAATGTCAAAACTTAATTGAATCTTTATTATTCTATTTAATATTGATACAATTTGAATTGGTAATCCATTATAGAAAGAGTAGAATTATTAAAATCAAAAAGGAGACTATTGAAAAGGTTTTTTAACCATATATATAGTAGAATTGAATTTAATCATTTTTCAAAAACTGTATTATGGTAGAATTATTAAGTAATATATAATAAATAATTGAAATTCATATTTAATTTAAAATCATATTGTTAATCAAATTTTTTTTTATGATAATATGACCACATATATATTTTTAACCATTAGATGAAATTTTTCTTATCCTATATTTACAAGCAAGGAGATATAAATATGAATATATCTATAAGATATAAGTTGATATTTGATTAAAAATAAATAGATAGTATTAGTTTACTTAAAATAGATTATTTATATAATAATCATATAATCTATAAATTAATTAATAAAATTGTATATATATCATATTTAGTCTATTAAAAAAATAAATAAATAAATAATTTATTTTATTTTATTTTATTTTATTTTTTTGCAAATAAACATTAGATACATGATTTTTATTAAAACTTGTTTATAATTATTATATTAACAATCTTTATATATATAAGTTAATTGTAGCCTATTACAAATATCAGGTGACACATACAGACTCTGAAAACCCTCATGGGGAAAGAGAAGGGTAAATAATGACTAACTACTAATTACAATATAAACTGGTATGTATACTCATTAGGAAATAAAACATAAGTAGTTTGGTGTGACTAAGAAAATCAGGTTTTTGGATATGCTGAATCTGGGAACCAGTTTGTTATTGTAATATAGCCTGTGGATCTTTTCCATATTGGGGGCCTTGTTTCCAATATGGCATGATCATCTTGCGTCAATCTTTTGAAGAGAATAAGTTGACCACAGTTTTTTGGTTTGGATAGGAATTGGAAAAGTAAACAAGAAAACCAACTCCATGAAAATTCTTCTTAAGTATATATAGATGATAGTAATATCAGGTATCTAGAATGGGAGCACTTGTCTAGTATATACTTTTAATCAAGTATTTCAGGCAGAACCAAGACTCAGCAATGCAAAACCTTATACATCTGGCCTGTTGTGTTAAAGAATTTCTACCTTCAACAATCTACTATATCTCTTCACACATTCTTTGACTTCAATATAGAGACTAGTAACTATTGAAAGTACTCTCGACAGCTTTTGTGTGAGAATTACAACTTCCAGTCAAAATGATTCCATCGTAACCTTTTCCAAGTTAAGCTCTTTTAAGCAAGGGAAGAGATTTTTATCAGGAGGTCCACACCTCTTGATAAAAGTAACCTCAGCTTGAGTAAGATATATATTTGATCAAAATAGGAGTATTGGCATTCCAGAGGATTAATGAAATAGTTGCAGAGTAAGGAAAGAGAGGCTTAGAAAGAAAACCTTCAAGAGAAAGGAAAAACAGTTCATCAGCAGGAAAGGGGATTGAAGGAATGAAAAAATAGAAAAATGGGAAAGAAAAACAATTGCTCTTTTGCTTATAATTACCAGATGTATACAGAGCCTCGTTGCAGAAAAGATTGGCCAGCCCCAAAACCCTCTTTTCCTTGTCTCA